AAAAAGGTTTCGTAGGAGATAGTTCGGACGGTATACCCGCGGACAGATCCTTTTAAGGTTTCATAGATTTTAATAACCGTTTTTTTAAGCCTTTGGACACATTTGGAAGCTTTTAGACACCTACGAAACCTTTTTGGAGGGTTCGGTAAATTAATCTTTTTAGAGTGTACAACTCTGATTTCGAATCCATTTGTTTTCTGCTGACTAAAGTTGTTTTAAGAAATATTCACAATATATGTGAGAACAGCGTGTTGCAATTCATTAAACAATGCATAATCCATGCATTTTAAAGACCATATGATTTTTTCACCTATGCCGTGTTTGACAATTCATTATAATAACAAATGGGAATAATGGAACTGAGATGCGTGTATATACGTAGAAGAAGATTTCAAGTCTTCATCTCGAGCGCTATTCTGACCTTTTTCGACAAAAAAGAATGAATTTCAATCAACAATCCAGAAAGAGAAAAAAGTGTTTTTAAAGAACTTTTGTATATAATCAGAAATCTTTAAATATTTTCTTTTCAGCGAGGAAAACCCGAACTCATTGATAAATCTTTCGCCACACTTGGTTCTTCTTCGTACGTCAATATCGATCTTTTTCTGTAGCTTTTAGTGCATTCCATAGTGGATGTTTCTTGGTAAACGCTGGTCAAGAAATGGAACAAACAAAAATTTCCTCACTTTTCGAAAGAGATTGGATTGACTATAGAGAAGTACATACACTTGAAGAGTTTATACGTAAACTAATACAAATCAAGAAACATTCGGTGATCGAAGCGAGAGGAGCCAGGTCAGAGAAGTGAAATATAGATGCGTTTCGAACATTATTCTGCTTCGATTCTTAGATTAACACTGACCCATCATAGTCCATGTATTGTGGCCGTGTGGGAAGCCGCATCGATCTGTGAAGGTCTCATTGGTGTGTTCAATGTGATGCAAGAAGCCAACTGTGAACAATTCATACAAATTCCCAATTTACCCAAAGGCATTTATGAAAACTTATTTGTTGATATGGGCGTGAGCGCACTACTGGAACGCGAATTTCGAACAGTTTCAGTGGATAAGAATGGTTTGCTGCCTGTACCTGCGGTTGCCAGCGTTCTTTATTATGTTGGTGTTCTTCTGCATCCTAAACCATTTTACAGTGAAATATTCGATTTTAACTACAGACAAGCGTAACACCGAAAATGAGAAGTGAGAATGACTTATAGACTCAACTTGCCGCGTAGGATATCTCAGGTCCAGATTCGACCGTTTTTAGGATCGATTCGCCTATGAAGCTGTTTCAAAATCAGTTTAAGGGTGTTGCATGCCTACTTTCAACTTTGTAATAATGAATTAAAATATTTGACTTCATACTAACGACAATCAACAGCAACAATAAATGATACTTCTAATATTCATAAATTAACTTTAACTTCGATAAAGACTATGATGTACTATCTAATCATTATTTTACCAATGTTCAGTCCTTATCCATTTGAGAAGGAGGATTAGATAATGATGCAACATATAGTCAATTGAATAGATTTTTAAATTTATTATCAATTATTTGGAAAAATTTATTCAAAATTATTTTTAGATATATCAAAAAATAATACAGCTATTATATTAATTAAAATATATTCTAGATATTTAACAGAAATATTGACTACTCCAACATATCATTATCGTCGTCAAATAATATTATATTTAAAACAAAAATTAAAAAAATGAACACTTATTAAAAATGGTTTCAATCGAACCTACGATACATAAACAAAGAAAGAGATAAAAAACATATGTTACTTATTTTCAAATATAGAAGAATTAATTATTGATGGATCATTAGGATTAATTGAATTTTTTACCATTATTATTAAATAAATTAAAATATATATCATTTTTGAGTATCTATTATTTAAAATCAGAACAAATAAATAGTCAATGAAAATATTCGACAATGGTTAATCAATAATCAGCAAATATCAAATCTAAATGATAATAATTTTATTTGTAAATGGTCCCAAAAAAAATTTTACATATGGATCGGTTAATTTGCAGATTCTCTGTCATTGCTCATATGTTAATCAATGCTATAAACATTCTATTATCCGTGACACGACTTTTCCACAAACCAACATTTTCGGCAATTTTTTTCACTACAAATTTAGGCATTTTTTCAACAGAAATACATGTGCACGGTTGTTAGTGTGCGCAAGTTGTGAGGGTGTTAGAGCAGTGGAAGCGTGAGTTGAAAAAGTAGTTTGATAGTAAAGTTTGTTGGATGATTGAGTATGAAACTAGTTAGAAATATTCAAATTGAATGAGAGCTTGATTTACAGCTAATCTCGTATGTTTTGATTTATTAAGACTTTGAAACGTAATGACTATTTGTTTTTGTTAATTTATATTTTTAATAATTCTTGGAAAAGTGGGAATTCTGTTCTCAGAAATGTCCATATATCCTTTTCTGCATTTATCGATTGAAAAAGTTGTTCGTTTTGTTTATTTACATCCACTTTTTACTAAAATAAAAATGAAAAAAAAAGTTCTCAACTTCAAATTTTGTAAGATAAACACGTAAATATAGTCGAAAACAATCAAAACTAAAAAGCTAAAAAGCAAATATACCGGTTTTTAATAAAAGAATTTCTTTTTTTCGAGTTGTATGATTGAAAGAAAATCAAATTCTCTATCAAAAAAATATCTTTTTAAATCTGGTTCATGTTTGGCCTCAGAATAAACGTTAACGGTATTGAAAAAACGGTATTTTTAAACCCCGCTGATCCGGAATTCGCCTTCGATGCGAATTTCGATTAAATGACCATATAGAGATCCACGGCGACTATTAAAGGTAAAAGAACAGATTGAATTTAATAAACACAATAATATTTGTAATAAAACGTCAGTTGCAGAAAAAGAAAAGATCAAGTAGCTAAGTAATACATTGTTTTTTGGTATAAATATTAATAAATTCAACATATATTTGTTGATACTTTATTTCATTAAACAATCTACGTTATAGAATATATTTTGATTAGTTTAAGCTATATCTATTGAGCCAGAGGAATAATACAACAAAAAAAAAAAAGAGGCATGAGTCCATGATATCCTTTTTGACTATTTTGATGATGTTACATATGTGTATATCAACAGCTTTTGGTAAAGGAAAAACAGCCATGGTTAAACGAGTACTTTGAGAACGGTGTGGTAAACATCTACGGATACTTACAGTTATATAGCACGCCTCCACGAGATTAGCCTAACTGATCTTACTCCTACACTATAGCCGATATGATGAACGAAATGACATAATTATTACACTGGATATTTTTTCAGCTTAATGTTAGATAATCACTGTGAGTAACATACTAGGCGCCCAGGTAAAGCAAAACAGTGAATAGGATTTGTACTGAAGTCGCGCCTTGACTCTGTATTATGTCGCGATTGTAAGAGGAGAACACGAGCGTGACGTGCGTCCAGTGAATGTGACGGGAGTGCGGAATGAAAACCGCATTCACACCACGAATAAAACAACAAAGTCGGCTCGGGTGTGATTCAGGTTTGCAGTGAGACGCTGTGAAAGATTCTTAGTTCTTAATTTTTAAAAGATATACAAAATTTTTAGTATTTTTAGTTTTCTCTTTTGCTTGGCGATAACCCAATCTCTCTAGCTGCTTTCTAGCAAAACTTATTCAAAAAATATCCACTGCTCTTGTATTTTGAAACGGATAGTAGTGTTTCTAATTTATCAATCAATAGTGCTCTTATTTAAACGTATCATTCTTTCCTGTATAGCTGTTACTCTACGCCAATCACAGCCGAATGTACTTAGAAATCTTATCGGACGTTTACGGAAATTCAGATCGAGAAATAGTAGCACGTTAGTATTAACTTCAACTGTCAAATCTATATCAAAAGGTAACACTTCACGACAGAACTTGTCTGAAGAATAAGCAGTATGCAATACGAGCTCTTCATCGCAAAAAATTAAACAAATGTGTACCGGGAAGAGATCAATCAACTGCTTCATTCTTGATTATCCCTGTCACAGACTCAAGAAGTGCCCGATATAGAGGACAGTAAGATGAATGAGCTGGATTTTTGTTCTTCTGTCGAAGGGAGTAGAAGTGAAAAGCAGTCGGAAAGCGTTTAATATTTTTTCTTCTCAAGACAATAGCTCTGAACGTGGCTAGGAAAATGTTTCATTCGAAAGAAGAGTTACAACAGCGACTACTCGATTTTGTCCGTCCGATATAATGAACACAAATTTTCGACCAATAACACAATCACTATTGGTAGCCCTAGCTTTAGACCGTTAGATAACTCAATGTTGACATTATTTGATACCAATTTATTCATTTACGCATTGAGCCACGCTGATAAATTTAATAACCAACCATCAAAATATCCACTGTTGTCCGGGCTAGATGTATTCGTATTTACCAATAAAAAGTCGCTCTCCGTCTATCTTTATGTATGGAAATCCAATCGATATGCCAGCAACAGCCTCGCATGCACCAGCTACCATTTTAAACGAAACAAACACGAAGTTTATCATCCGCAAATATCAACAGAAAGCCGTTTTAGTAGTCGATGAGGTGAAATACGCTGCATTATTGAAGAAAAAGGAAAAAGACATCGTCAACAACTCTCAGTCACAGTATACGGATGTTTTTTTACTGCCGGCAGACTGGCATTTTATGAAAAACATTTTTGGAATAGCTGGAAAATTCATAAGTGGCTCCGGTATGTTATCTTGGAGGAAAATATTAAACTCATTGTTCCTTCGGTATTAAAACACTGACGATAAATTTCCCTAGAACGTCTCTGACAGCTATCTTTTGTTGTTCAGCCAAAAAAAGCTGTTTTCGCTTACCAATAACAAACTTTGTTGCGTAATTTCGAATGAATATTGCTAATACCAATGCGAATAGAGCCCATTTTGATCTAAACAGAAAATTGAAATATATCAATAATGCACAATAATGTTCTTACTTTTTCAGACTTTTCTGTCTATCATAAAAAAGTACGGTGTATAAGGCGTTAAACAATTTCTTATTTGAGGTTTGGAGTATGTTTTTCAAGTTCTGTACGATTCAACAGTTGTTAACGGGATTCTGGGAGTTTATGACTTTGATCGTACATTTCGAGCTTACGCACTGATGTTCACCACGTTACTTGTACTTCAAATCGAGCTATTTATCGAGGAAAATCCACAAAATGATACTGAATTGAAATTGCTCTTGGAGCAAATGATAAAAACATTACCGATCATCAATGCTAGTATAAAAAATGAGGATGAGAAGGAGAGTTTATACAACGCGTTCACAGATGCTTGTTATATCCTACAGCTTCTGAATGTGAAGAACGATTTCGACAGTTGGAAGAAACGAAAAGCACAGCAATTTATAATGTTTCGATACTATGATTATGTCGTCAATTCTCTATTGCAGCCATTATTCACACTCTACATGGTGACAAGGACGAATAATTTTAAGGTTCGGAACGAGTAATGGCGATATTTCGTCCCTTTCTGTTTTGCCTTCAATCATGTTGACTATGCTCGAATGCGCTGTCATCACATTTCTGAAATATCACAAATGGGTGATTATTTGGCAGCGAATTTAGAGGAAAGTTGGACGGTGACAATGAAAGGCTGACATTTTTCAAGTGTCGCGTGTGACTATGCAATTGAGTCCACTCAGAACAAGAACTTTAAAGGTCAGGTTAGTCTCAGTGGGCACATGGATGCCGCTCTTCGTCTGACATGGTGTCTCTCTTCCTCTTGGTGCGCGCAAGTTTTGCCTGTGGTCAACGAGTTAGCCGCCGTGAAACATACAAACGATCCATATGTTCAAGCTACTGTATCTAGAATAATAACTGACAATAACGATTTGCTCAAATTGATCAATCTACTGAAAACTGACAACCCATTTCGATCGACAACCATAGATTTTCATAAATTGTTGAGTGAAGCCAAATTGCCGTCTGACATTGTCGAAGAATTGTGTGGTGTCTCAGCAAAATTTGTCACGACAGCGAACAACTTCATCAAAGAGCACTTAATTGAGAAGAGAACGTCAATATTCACCACTATCAAGAAAGGAAATGTTCGACTATTGACGATGATGCTTGCTCCCGAAACGCTGCTGACAAACACAAACAACATGGAAAAACAATTCAGAGCGTTAATGTATTAATGTATTGCTCGTTATTTCGTCCAACTATCAAATTGGAAACAATAAGTAGTTACGAATTCATCATACCACCACCTTCGATGTTAAATCCGACGGAACCAACATTTCAACAGAAAAATAGCCTTCTTCCTTTCATATCAGACAATTTTCCGAGCACTGTGTCAAACAATCAGCAGCAGATGCCATCAGTCATTATTCTCGATGGAGATGTGCCACTAGGTAACCTTGTTCTCTGTTTAACTAAGTCTATAGAAAGCGAAAACGTCTGTCCCAGAGACAAATACCTATAGCTGTACAAACTTTCTGAAAACAGGAGATTGGTAGGGAAAAGAAACCCTGCTTTTAGTTCCTTTTCGGTTTCCCATGATCTCTTATCGGCCACCAAATATTGTTTCTAGTTCAGCAACGGCGATGTGATACCTACACTGAATATGCCACCAACATGTTTATGGAAAACATATTACCACTATTCAAATGTCGTAATCGAATCGATGTTGTTTTTTCGTGCAACAATGACTTCTCTCTTCACGGTTTGATAATCAACGCAGAAAACGAAGAGCATAAACTGTTAGTCACTCAATTGAAACCAAATTTTATTATGCCTCGTCCTGCAGAGTGGGAGGTAATTGTGAAAAAAAATATCAGCTGTGTTGGTCAATGTATCTGTGATATTTGGCAGTCATCAGCATTCACAATTCCCATCGGTAAATTAATGATCGTGTCATGTCCAGACAAGCGACTACTGCTCATGACAATCCAAAATGCAATAACGATTGAACAGTTTGATGTTATTGTTGAACATGCAACAACGGCAATCCAAAAATTTGAGAACGTTTCGGTTGTTATTAAATCGAAAAAGAATGATTTGTTGAGTCTGGCTATAGCATATGCCTCGACCGTACCATATATGCGTATTGTCGACTGCAGCTATATGTATCGAGGTGATACAATAAATAAGTACGTTAACTGTACTGAGTTAAATGAAGCAATGCGAAATAAATACAAAATAAATTCATTGTTCCCATTAATCACTTTACATGCCTTAACGGGTAGTCAATATACATCGGCAATCCGAAACATCACGAAAGCTACCGTAATCAATACCTATTTTCAAAATATGTCGCAATATAAATACATTGAACATTTGGGTCAACTATCATTGACAAATGAAATTGGTGACGCGTGCGAAAACCTTTTTCTTCAGGCGTTGAAATCTGGTTGTTGGACGTTGGACGAAGAGCGTCACTTAATGATAAGGAAAGCGTCGAGAAAATATGAAGATATAACCGCACTCAAAGCTCTGCCATCAATCACTAATGCTGCTCAACAGCATTTTAAGCGAGCTTCTGTAGTTGTGAATACGTGGTGTCAAAATGCACAGCCTGATATATGCCAAAATAATGGTTACGAAACGGTCAACGGCACTTTGAATATTATATGGATAACAAAGCCGATAGCTCCCGATGCCTCGCAAATAATTGCATGCGGATGTAAAACGGGTAACTGCAAATCCTGTTCATGCGAAAAAAACAATCTTAAATGTGTACAAAAATATTGCTCATGTGACGAAGCCAAATGTACGAGACGGTGACAAGTCAATGCAAAACGTAAAAAGGCTTAAACTAATATTAAGAATCTTCTTTGAAACGAAACACGTCTTAAAGGAACAAGTACAACGTAACCTCTATTGGTTTCGTCTGGAAACTGCTTATTATCTTATGCACTAGCTTTCTTCGCCTCATATTCTACACTCATAAAACTAAAAATGATTGTTGTCGTTTCACACTTTACCATTTCACTCTATCTCTTTCTCCTCTTTTCTACTCAGGAAATTTCTTTTTTAAATGAAAATACCATTTAATTACCTTGTTACCATTCTCTCAGTCGCTCTGTTTGCGAGAAAACTTTCCTGTATTTGATCAATTCACTTATAAATATTGTACATCAGGTGATGATCAGAAAAAGTCGTAAACCAAAAAACTTGATGTTTTTTTGAGAAAAATATAGAAACCACTGGCCTTGTAAGAAAAACACTCTAAGTCTGTATCTTTTTGATTTTGAAACGAATCGTTATTCGCACATCGGAACATCACATAGTCAATTTTGAAAAAATCGACTACGCAAATGAAGGGTGCTCTTGAGCATACTAATCGTATTGAAACATGATAAAGCTCGTAATAATTACTTCTCTTACTTTCTTCCTTCAAACTTCTCTCTTATGTTCATTATGTATTTTTAGAACCAAGGCAACTCCTGGATAGGAACAAGAATGAAGCAGCGACAGAACAACTAACTACATTCGTTGGTATTTATTTATTACACATACATGTTTATTTTATTCTAATTCGTTCAAACTTTTCTCTCTCTAGCCAGTGTTTTTTTTTATCTGAGGTTTCTGAAATTCATCCTAATATCTGCGCACGCAAAGAAAATATTTTTCCACTTCGATCACTTTTCTTATGTTTTGTTTGCATTAGAAAATTTGGTGCTTGCTCCGCACTGAACCAAATTGGATAAAAATTGGGCGCTAAATGCAAAATTTGTCGGTGAATCCGACAGCGGGTTCCTTATAATTACACCTTCACTTCTTTTCTGGTGTCGACATAACCAACGTGGTTTTTGCCTAAATTTTATTTTTCTCATTGGCGCTTTTTTTTTCAACCAATGAGAAAAATAAAATTTAGGCAAAAACCACGTAGATTATGTCGACACCAGAAAAGAAGTCA